TGTATGCATTTCCAACTCTTTAATACAAACTAGAAGATGAAGGAGGACAGCAAAAGGAGGAATACCCAAATCTCTTCCAGGGTTTCTACAGCTTTTTTGACTAGCAGTCACTGGCTGGAGAACACAGCTACCTATGGAGCAATGCAGCCACAAAACAGGAGGCTCTTCTGTTACTCTGTTCCAGATCACTGACTCGAGCACAGGACACAGCCTTCTTCTGCAGGCATACAGCCTGTTCCTTTAGGCACACAACCTGCAAGAGGGACTAACCTTCTAGACCTGGGCTTCAGCCCTAGGGCCTCCTAACAGGCACATAGCCTGCTCATAGGGGTGCTATATATATATATATATATATACACACACACACATTTACAGTATAATCTGTCTAATAAACACACATTTTCCACAGACAATCCCACCCCCCATTCTCACATCATTGCTTTTTCTGTACTCTACCTTGGGGCCACCCACCCATAAACAGGCAAATTGTTCTCCAAGAATGACCAAAAGTGAGAAATAACCAAAGTTACCATCAAAAACCTGCAACTCCTACCTTGCCGACGTGGGTGAGTACTGCCTGTGCTGCATGCACACTGCAGTAATTGTTACCTTTTCTCTAATTCCTCTCTTAAAAATTGTTGTGATAAGATATCAGTCACCAACTCATAACCCATAATTGATGATTAGGAGCAGTAAAGCAGGACCATTCTGTTGCACTACAAAATAGGAATTAGACCTTGAGTATGTAATGAACAAATATGGGTGCCTCCATTCACATAAATGTTAGGTTATATTAAAAAATTTGCATGCATTGAAAATATAATTTTTACATCCAGCTGATCTCGTCTGCATGTATACCTAAAATAATAATGAAAAGTCCCAATAATGAGGCAGCCTAAGGTTGTTGCTTGAGGCGGCATCACCTGAGGCAGCATCACTTTGGGTCAATCTGGGGGCGGCAGCCAGAGCAGCATGGCTGCTTTGCTGCATAATGTTTCGAGTGTGCCTGCTGCCCCCTTTCCGGTCAGAGTGTCCCAGGCTGCTAGGAGCCCGTCAGGGGAATGTATAAGGGCCATACACCTCTATCCGCCCAGCTCATAGCAACCTGGGACGATCTTGCCCACACCCTGCTGAGCTCCTGACAACCAGTGAGCTGGGCAGGACATCAGGGAAGAACTGGAGACACAGCACCCCCTTCCCAGGTTAGCATGCAGCACAGCACCATGCCCACCCATGACGCCTCAGGTGGCGAAAAGGCTAGGAACACCCCTGCCTGTATATCATCTTTTAGTTCATATATGTTAGTCATATTTATGGTTTTATCTATTTGGGGTCCATCGCATGCCTTTGGGGTCAGGGGGGTGGTACACTTTTGTCTCTAGTAATATTCTGTTTACTACTGTTTTCTTTTACCTGTTCAAAAGTGCAAAAATGACCTGTCGATTCTACCAGAAAACTACACACAATTGGTTGCCTCGAATTACCATTTTTATCTATAGCTATGAAGCACAGAAAGGTCATCTCTGGCCCAAGCTTATAATAGGGAGACAACAGCAATGGAATTATGTATTATGTAAGTTATCTAACCTGTCTGAACCTCATCCAGAGGATGCTGCTAGGTCATTACACCATGAGCCAATGCAAGTGGCTGCATTTCTAGACTGTCATCTTAGGTCGGTGAGTACCTGACAGGGAACCCACCCTCTGTAGTTGGTTGGACCAATAAGGACCCCTTTATTTAAGAATAGTAAGAGGGTATGGTCGGCCAAAACTCAGTTTTTTTTTTTTTTTTTACTATAGTCTCCAGTTCCCTCAAAGACTATCCATACACGGTTCAATATTCTGAGGTTTTTCATAATGGCTGACTGCAAAGAGATAACAGCTAGTAACACCAGAAGTGCATGTTATCTGTTTTAGGGCCTGTTCACACGACGTCCGTTTTGTGTGCTGACCTGATCCGTACGCTGCTGCACTCAAAATGCATCCCAATGTATCCCTATGTGTTTTATGGGCTCCAGTTCTCACGTGCGCAGTCCGTTCAGCTTACACAACAGAAAAATACTGCATGTCACATTTTGTACGGTCAGGATACGCAAACGCGTCAAAAACGCACTGCGCTGCAGCTAACATACTAACAGCCCCACTCCAGCAAAAAAAAAAACTTTTTTTCTTTTT